TGGGGGACGATTTCTGGCAGCTTCAATATTGTTCTCTTCCCTTGGTTTTGTCTGTATTTTACTCTGCTAAACTCCTACAACTTAGAGATTTAGATGGTCGCTACTTAAGGGAAATCTATTACCATGGGTTAACGATAAGTTGTTTTTTTTTTTTTTTTGACGTAGTTTAAGTTCAGTCTTGTCAGAATACTCTGTATTTGTTCTTTGTTCTGATTTATGCGTATCAGAAACGAGAAAGGCTCTTAAACTTGAGATTAATTATTACTTGCTGGCATAGAATGAGGCTTTTTAGATTGAGAGCAGTGACCCTTCATAAATTTATATCTGATATTTTCACAGTTTTTTAGCTATAGAAACTCAGTGAAGCCTGGAATTTTTAGTGGGATCACTGGGTTTCCTGGCTCCTGTAATCCTTATCTTAGGAAGCTAAGCGAGAAGATAATTTTATATTTGAAGCTTTGAAAGTTTAATGATGATAGCGCTGCAAAAAGATGAAGCAGATAGTAATATGTGGTTAAAGTGCTTCTTTAGGAGGTTGAATAATCATACAAGTGGTCATTTGATTTAGAATGTTTGTCTTGGGTATCTTTTTTGATTCTGGGGAGATTATGATAGATGACCAGAGTATTGCTATTTACTGGGGAACAAACTTGGTCTGGTTTTGACAAAAGTAGTAGGACCCTTTTATCTTTTGCGAAGTGCTCATGTATGTTTACTCCCTGAACAAAAATTCTGAAAAGGAGGAAAGAAAGAAATCCTTAATTAAAGTTCTTCTTTATCATCTTTGGTTGGATGACATCTAAATTTCTTTTTCCCTTTTTGTTCTTTACTGCTTTCCACTGTTAATCAACACTTATCTGCTACCTAACTATTAGTTTATAAGTAATCTGCTACTGTACTTTATAACAAATTCCGGCATCATTAAGTCTGCAACTGAGATACTAGTACGTGTCATTCAAGATTTCATTTTTGAATGACTAATAAGTTTGTTAGATGGTTTCCACTCGTATTTAAATTATTTCATTATATAAAGATGTTCAAATTTAAATTATTTCATTATATAAAGACGATAAGTTTTTGTACATGAATTTGGCTGTGAAATCCTAATGATAATTAGTTGTTATTTCATTTGTGAGGTTTTTAGGGCCGTGAATTCTCTTGTACCTTAGTGGATAATATCCATGAGTTTGGCCACTTACACTGGTATTACATTTCAGGATGATACCTTTTACCTGTTCTATGAGACTAAGAATTCAATCACTATGAAAGGCGATATTGGTGTGGCAAAAAGTACTGACAAAGGAGCAACATGGCAACAGTTGGGCATTGCTTTGAATGAGGACTGGCATCTTTCTTTCCCATTTGTATTTGAGCATCTTGGCCAGGTAAACCTCAATATACTACTACTTAAATTTACATAGTATTTGAGCATCCATGGTAACTGCAGCTTCTGTTGTTTCTGGGACCCTTAACTTCTGGTTAGGCAAATAAAACAATGAAAGTTAATATTATTTTAATTAAATTAATCTGCAAAATTTGCACTTGCTGGAAGATTTGAACTACATGAAATACTCTAGAAATCAGATTTACAGCATTAACTTTTGGAGTCATGTGTTTTTAGTTAATGCCTCAGAAAAGTTGGTTCTGGGAAAAATAGTGCGTATCAAGGTTCATATGTTTTCTGTTATGCATTCTTCAGCATTGAGGTTCATTCACTTCATTAGAGAGCCATTTGAGTTCATAATAATTGTAAGCTTCATTTGTTCTTTTATTTTCAGATATACATGATGCCTGAAAGCAGTAAAAAAGGAGAATTGCGTCTCTATAAAGCAATTAAATTCCCTTTGCAGTGGACATTAGAAAAGGTCATGATAAAAAAGCCGCTAGTTGATTCCTTAATCATCAAATATGATGGAAGGTATTGGCTGTTTGGCTCAGATCATAGTGGTTTTGGCTCCATGAAAAATGGTCGGTTGGAGATTTGGTATAGCAGTTCACCTCTTGGTCCTTGGAAACCTCATAAGAAAAACCCCATATATAATGTGAACAAGAGCCTTGGTGCTCGCAATGGAGGCAGACCATTTTTATATGAAGGGAATATTTATCGTATTGGTCAGGACTGTGGTGAAACATATGGGAGACGGGTGCGTGTCTTTAAGATAGAAGTTCTTACCCCAGAAGAATACAAAGAAACTGAAGTACCATTGGGTTTTGCTGAGCCTAGCAAGGGTCGAAATGCTTGGAATGGTGCTCGGTACCATCACCTGGATGCACAACAGTTGCCATCTGGTGGTTGGGTTGCAGTTATGGATGGGGATCGTGTTCCTTCTGGTGATCCAGTTCAGCGTTTCATTCTTGGTTGCGCTTCAGTTACAGTTGCCGGTATTCTCATTGTGGTACTGGGGGTGTTACTGGGATTCGTGAACTGTATTGTTCCTCTCAACTGGACTGTGCATAGCTCTGGAAAGAGGTATTTTGCTTCCTTGGCTTGGGAAAGATCAAACTTATTCTCTTGTAAAGTTAGACGGTTCTGTAGCCGCTTGAACAGAGCTCCAGCATTTCTACGAAGCAAGATAAAGCATAATGCTTGTGCTAGGAGGTTGATTCTCATCACAATATTTGCAGTTGGTGTTGGATTAATGTGTGTCGGGGTTAGAAATATCTATGGGGGAAATGGTTCAGAAGAACCTTACCCTGTGGAAGGACACTACTCACAGTTCACATTATTAACAATGACCTATGAGGCTCGTCTCTGGAACTTGAAAATGTATGTGAAGCATTACTCAAGATGCTCCTCTGTGCGAGAGATTGTTGTGGTGTGGAACAAAGGAGTCCCTCCCAAACCAACTGATCTGGACTCTGCAGTCCCAGTAAGAATCCGTGTAGAGGAAAAGAATTCACTCAATAATCGGTTCAAGGTCGATCCATTGATAACAACACGAGCTGTTCTCGAGCTCGATGATGACATTATGATGACATGTGATGATGTGGAGCGAGGTTTCAAGGTTTGGAGACAGCACCCAGATCGAATCGTGGGGTTCTATCCTAGGCTCATTGATGGGAGCCCGCTGAAATACCGGGCAGAAAAGTATGCTCGGATGCATAAAGGGTACAACATGATTCTCACTGGTGCAGCATTCATAGATTCTCAGGTGGCTTTCAAGAGGTACTGGAGTGATGAAGCCAAGGAAGGGAGAGAAATGGTAGACAAATCCTTTAACTGTGAAGATGTGCTTCTGAACTACCTGTATGCAAATGCAAGCTCATCTAGGACTGTGGATTATGTTAAACCAGCTTGGGCAATTGACACATCGAAGTTTTCTGGTGCAGCAATAAGTGGGAACACAAAAATGCATTACCATCTAAGAACTCAGTGCCTTGTGAAATTACAGAGATGTATGGAACTTTGGCTGGTCGTAAGTGGGGATTTGACAGCAGAAAAGATGGTTGGGATGTATAGAAACGGTAATAGGAAAGAGGGTTTTTTCTTTTTAATCCAAAGGTAGGACCTTTTTACCAACTTTTGTATTTTTAAATTTTGTTCTGGTACAAGTTTGTCCATACTTTTCCACCCCCACAGAAAATTTATGTGGGGAGATTTTAAATAGATTCCCGACAAATTGTAAATTAGCATGTAATGGCATTTTTGTGTCTTAGTTGTTAAATTATATTGGCTGTGATTTTGTTGTCTTCAAATTTGCCATTTTTCTCATTATTTTAATATTTACTTATCATTTGATATTTTAAATTTTATATATACAATATATGTCAATCCAATACGAAAATAACTCATAATTTTACTATCATAGAATGAAGTAGGCGAAAGGAAAGGTGGAATCTGTAGAAGTTAGTAAAAAATGAGCTAAAGTAAACGATTTCTGCATGGAGTCGTGTGCGAAACAATGAAACATGATTGTTAGTGCCCATGTCACTTTTGATTATGTCACAACTAACAATTTAATCGTTAAAAAAATATGTATAAAAAGCATTCAAAACACATTTTAATGAATAAGTGATTATGAACAAATATTTTGTTATAATCTTAAAGAAATCATTTAAACACTTCATGCGTAAAAAGTTTAATTGTTTTTTACTTTTGATGTGTTATAAACAAGTTGATAGTCACTTTTGATTTATATAATGACAATCATAATATGTGTGTATATATATATTAAAAATAATAAATGATACTATTCATAAGTTATGAATAATATTCTAATATTCTATATTGAAAAAAATTTATGACTTATTCTAATAAAAAGATTTAAGCACGAGGTCTTCAGTTTGATTTTATTTGAATAAAAAATGTTTTTGAAAGAGTTATTATCAATTAAATCTAATAATGTTTAAATCTAATTCAATAACAATTGATAGCATATAATTGTATGGAGAAGACTTCTTTTTATAAATTTTGAAAACATTGAAATGATATAACATTTTGATAGATGGAACAGCTATCAAAATCAATTATCATAATTTGCTTAAATTTAAAACATAAAAAGTTCTCATTTTTACGATAGCCAAAAAAAAGAAAGAAAGAAAGTTATCATTTGAATGATTATAGTCCGAGAATTAACAAATTCGACTCCGCATTGTTCACAAAATTTTTGGTCTTTTTTTTTTAATATCCGATTACTCGATAATTTCCACAATAATGGGATATATTTTATTTTGATAACTCCATATATATATATATGTCAACTTTGTAAAAGGACAAGACAGCTAAATTTCCTTAATCTAATTATAAATTGATCACAAGGAGGGGAAAAGTTCAGAAAATTTGAAACAAAAATCGAATTAATTAATAGATCGACATAGATATATAGAGTCAGACTTCTCGCAGGGTTTCAGTATCAAAAGAAAGAGGAAACAGGTATCGTACTGCAGTTTCCAAAAAAAGGAATTTGACAAAATCCGTTGTAATTTCTAACTACATGCAAGACGCTAGGCGTCTAATCATGCGCAACTTCCATTCCCATTTTAGGCATTTGATAGAGAAAGCTTGAATGATCCCCATCATTCATTTTCATGTGCCATTTTCACTCTCACTCTCCTCTTCTTCGATCTCCATGCCTTCCTCTCCTCCGTCCTCGAACTCACACACACTCACAATACACTCTCTCTCTCTTCTCCCTTCAATCCATTTCCTTGGCATCACTTTTTAGGGTTTTGAAATTGGAAGAAAGCTAAAGCTGATCACTTTCAGATTGTGCACGCATACCCATATAGGCATATGCTGTACCCCTAATCAGAAAGAATCACCTAACCTTTTCTTTTTATCAGGGAATATCAGAGAATGATTGCTTTCATCCAAAGCGGCAATGGGTTTGTCCCAGTAGTGTAATTGACCATTCTGAGCTCTCCTCCCGAGGCTCTTAAGGAGAGATGATAATGGGGTTGTAAAGGGAGAATTTTGGTATAAGAATGTAGAGGAACTTTGCTGGAGTGCGATGTTGGCTATGGAGAAGGATTTTGATTCTAAGTTGAGGATTCAGGAGAATTCGTCTGCTGATGGCAATGTGCAGAGATCTAAGAGCTTTGCCTTCAGAGCCCCTCAGGAGAATTTCACCATACAGGACTTTGAATTGGGAAAGATCTATGGTGTTGGCTCTTATTCTAAGGTTTTTCGTGTTTAATTGCTGCTGTTGGTTTGCCTTTGCAGTTTTGATTGATACGCCTTTTATACCTTACCATCTGATAAGGCGTGCATATGCTCCATATTTCTTGAAGCTGTCAAATTTTTCAGGAATCTGAGTTTACCACTGCTAAACTATTCCTGGTGCTTCACTTAATAGTTGAATGTGGTTTTAAATTTTTATCATAGATTCTTTTTTTTATTATCTGAACATTATCGTTCATTTTACATAATAATATATATATTTGCGTTTGTGTGTCAATTACCCTTTGATCAAAAGCTTAAATTGTCACTGAAAGCTTCAAATAGTTTTATCAGTATGTTTCATATGCCTGTTATCATTGTGTTGTGAAAGCCTTTGGGATTTGAAATGTGGACCACTCACATGCTCGCAGCCCAACATAAAATGTTTTACAATGATTAGGACTACAGGGTAGCAAGGTCATATTCTTGCTCTGAACTATGAGGAGAATTATTTCATCTCAAAGCATTAGAAGGCCAAACTGTTTTATTACTTAATATCTCTGATGCATATCTGTGCTTGTCAAAGAATATTTTCACTAACACTGTCGTGTGTGTGTTTGCCGTGCCCTTCAGAATGTTAATGTTATGCTTATGTTTGTGTATGTCCTGTATCTTATGTGCTGTATAGCTCAATTATTGATTAAGGTGAAAGAAAAGATGAATTGAAATAGTGTTTCATTTGTTTGGGTGGAGGCAACTGTTGACAGATTGGGGGTTCACAGCATTCATAAACCCCTGTTATGATCAAAATATGACACTTGGGCTTTATGATGGATGAAGGAAATAGAGTTGCCGCTTCCTATTAGTTATAATTATTGGCTTAACCGTAAGTGCTTTATTCCGACAAATAAACAAAATTCAATTAATATCAAATGATAATATATTTAGGCTTGGAATCTCAGTTGTGAAGGAAGGAAGTGTAGTGTAGATTGCGGCATTCATATTGGTTATCATGTTTGTAAACCATAATTTCGAGACAAGCTTGGAGAATATTGAAGGGGCTACTCATGGAAGCAGGTTGAAGAATTCTTGAAGTTGTGTGAGTGATTCAGCACATTAGATGACATGGCCAAAGGGAGAAACTATAGCAGTGTTGAGGGGCTGTTCATGGGAAGCATGCCAAAGTATTCTGAGACTTTGGTGACCATCTATGTTTGGTGACCATTATGACTTCGAGGATAAAGTATTCTGTTATCCGCTAGGACAATCACCTCTTGCCTTTTTTCAGAGATTATGATATTCTTTTTTAGTGATTATGATATCACTTATCCAGGGACTGGAATATGAGTCTTGTATTTCGTCTTGCTACTTTTGTTAAATTTTCCTGATCATATAGTTCAGTGATCTCTGTAACTATAAATTTCAATCCGTTGTATACAAATATTGCTTGTTATCTTATTTCAAAACTTAATTATCTGGATCTTTTGTGATTTAATTGAGTAAATTCACCATTTCTTTTAAACTTTTACCACATATTTTGTTTTAATTTTTTTTTTGTTTTTTGTTTTTTTTTTTTTGTGTATTAGGTTGTGAGGGCAAAGAAGAAGGACACAGGAGTTGTGTATGCATTGAAAATCATGGATAAAAAATTTATTACTAAAGAGAATAAAACAGCTTATGTGAAGTTGGAGCGCATAGTGCTTGATCAATTGGACCATCCTGGCATTGTGCGCCTATTTTTCACATTTCAAGACACATTTTCCATTTGTAGGTATTCTTAGGCTGTGTTTCTCTAAATAATTTCATTCAATGCTGTTCCTCCTCTATCTTCTTTCATTTCAATATGCTTTAGCTTCCCACCCATTTTGATCTATTAATCAATGTTGTATCTTTTTCTTGTGATCTTTTCTTTTTCAAACTTGAAGACATGGCACTTGAGTCCTGTGAAGGTGGAGAACTTTTTGATCAAATAACCCGGGTAAGCTAATATGAGACTTGAAGACATGAGATCCACACGCTGGAATCCAATTAATTTGATTGGTACTGGTTTAGAAGGACCCAGATTTAGTGCTGTAGAAGTTGGGTCTTATTTGTTATGGCCTTTTATAATCTGCATCTGGAAAAAAGTACTGGAAGCGGTTTATTATAATATTTTTCAAGAGTTGAGATAAATTACTATTCTCTTTTTCAATAAATTATTTGTACATGTTAGTGAACATTTCAAAATAAACGCTGACAATTGACCCCAACTGAAACCAATAACACCTTTATTCTTAAGTATATGTGGATGGTGAGCAATATGGTATTGATTTCTTTTTATTTATGTAAAAAATATGTTCTCTGTCACAGATCTTTGCAAAGGATTTTTTTTTTTTTACTGTTTTTGCTTCTCGTTTTTTGTCCAGAGAAGCATTATTTACATATTTCACTGTTGTCTCTCTGTTTCCCCCTTCCTCTTTTGGAAAAAGCTGTCTGGCCCCTTTTTGACTACTCCTTTTTTGGGGGGGGGGGTGTCGTAGGCCGTGTGTTGAGAGGTTTTGAACATTTGGTACTTCATTTCACTCTTATGGCTTAGTTTATCCAAGGCCAACACGTTTGACATTTCATATTGATATTTTTGAAATTGTTGGTCCTTCTTTTAAAAATATTGTATTTTCTTTTTTCTACCCTTAGATTTTTGGAAGCTGTTGCTATCTGTGTGGTTCGTATCTATTTGCCAACTTGTTACTTGCTATCTACTAGCTTCTGCCTGATTTCCTGTGTGCAGAAAGGTCGTCTATCCGAGGATGAAGCACGGTTCTATGCAGCTGAAGTTGTGGATGCCCTTGAATATATACATAGTTTGGGATTGATACATCGTGATATTAAGGTAGTTCTGTGCTATGAATGTATTGCTTCAGCATTTCATATGGGTATGTTAAAAGATCACATTCCTTACGTTGCAGCCAGAGAACTTGTTACTTACGGCTGAAGGACATATTAAAATCGCTGATTTTGGGAGTGTGAAGCCTATGCAGGACAGCCGCATTACAGTCCTTCCAAATGCAGCAGCATCAGGTAAAATCAGGAGTAATGTGGAAGCTGCTTTGTTATGTTTATCATTATTCATGTGTGTGATCTTGGTTTTTTCCCCTAGATGATAAAGCCTGCACATTTGTGGGGACAGCTGCTTATGTCCCTCCAGAGGTTCTTAATTCTTCTCCAGCAACTTTTGGGTACGGACTTGATTGTATGTTGTTTTGATGGCGTTTTTACGTTATTTATAGATTTCATTGTCTTTTTTGAGTTAACGATTATTTCCAACCCTTCAGTTGCCAAGGAGAGCTTTCGCACTGAGTAACTTCATTATTTTTTGTTCCGTGCCTGGCTACCACATAATACTCTTCTATTTTCTCCTTTGTTTTATTTCTTTCAATATTTTACCACAGAAATGACCTCTGGGCTCTCGGTTGCACATTATATCAAATGCTTTCTGGAACTTCTCCATTTAAAGATGCTAGTGAATGGCTTATTTTCCAAAGAATTATAGCCAGAGATCTTCGATTTCCAGATTACTTTTCTGAGCAAGCAATTGACCTCATTGACCGTTTACTGGTTAGTATTTTTGGATTTTGCATGCAGAAGGCCCTGCTTGTTCTATCCACATTTCTGATTTTATGTTTCTGCTCTTTGATAATGAGAAACTAAAGGCATTTTCCCTTTGTAATGCCATGATGGCAATGCTAGCTATAAAGAATTTTCGCATGGAGCTAGCTGCTTCGCCTCTTGGGTCTTCTTGATTCGTGTCTTTTTTCCTTTTTTACCTTTCTGTTGCTTTGTCTTCAAGCCTCGGCTTGTCTTTTCTTCCCAAAAAAAAAAAAAAAGCTATAAAGAATTTTCCCTTTGTTAATTTGAAGGCAACAACAGATAAAAATCAAGCTTCGTGGGGGCGGGGGATGGGGTTTGGGCTTTAGAGTGAAAAACAAAAGAGAGACTTGGGAGATCAGTCCCCAAGTATGGCTTTTATGAGTTAAAGAGCTGGAATGCTGGATACTTGATGTCCCTTCTATTTCAAAACCGATATATACCTTTTGTAAAAAAGTTGAATTCATGTTGCTTCTAAGTCTTGGTTTCGACGGAAAAAAAAGCTACTTCTAAAATTATCCTATGCATCCAGTAATAGATTCTGATCTTAGCCAATTAGAAAATTGTCAAAGCCACTCGAGATCTTTATATTTCTAAAGTGATTTCTCATAGTAAGAGAAGATTGTATAATTCAAGCATTACTCAGCTATGGGAAGAGTAATTTACCCTATAATTAAGCATGATTTAAATTGCTACGCTCTGTGTATTTCATTCATTTGTAATAATATGTATTTAAAACAGTAATGCAACTATGGTACAGGATTTAAATCCAATGAGGAGACCAGGTGCTGGACCTGATGGATATGGAGTTCTCAAAATGCATCCTTTTTTCAAGGGAGTAAACTGGAAAAACATAAGGGACCAAAGCCCCCCAAAACTTGCTCCAGAAGCAGGGGTATAATTCTCATTCTGTTTTTAAATGTTACTCATGCCGAATAGGCAATTTTCCCTTTTTCTCCACTTTCTTTAGGGACGAATGTAAAAGGTGTTTCTAGCGTCATCATCTCATTCTCACTATTAGGGTCAATCTCTTGAGCATCATGATTCCCCATTTGATCCTCAGGATGGTTCTACTAAACCTGATGGAAATACCAGTGCTGCTACTTCTGATGGGACTGCTCATGTGACCAGGCTAGCTTCAATTGATTCTTTCGATTCAAAATGGTAAATTATTATCTTCCATTGTTTGTGTGAAGACCATATACTGTGTCATCCATGACTCACTGAAGCACAAAAGTTAACATCATGTGACAGAGGTCTCAATATGTTCCTTTAAGATTGTAAAACGTTAATGGTGCCATGTTATCCTTTATCTTGGACTTGTAAATGAAGGAATTTATACACACTGTAATTTCATTTCGCCCTCATTTAGCTTTTGATATTAATTAATTTGGTTGTTTTTTTGGTTAATCTGTGCATTTTATGTATAAACTAAAAATCAAAATTAGTGCTTCTTATCTTACAGGCAACAATTTTTGGAACCTGGGGAAACTGTTCTTATGATCTCAAATGTGAAGAAATTACAGAAACTAACAAGCAAGAAGGTGCAGCTCATCCTTACAAACAAGCCAAAGTTGATCTACGTTGACCCATCAAAACTGATTGTAAAGGGAAATATGTTATGGTCTGATAATCCAAGTGAACTTTCAGTCCAAGTGACTAGTCCTTCACATTTTAAGATTTGCACAGTAAGTTGCTGTTATCTTTATTTATCTTGTTATAAGATTTTTGTTTATAGTTACAGCAAGCTGTATGTATTGATGGTAAAAAGAAGACCCCATATCCGTCATTACCATGGATAGTATTTAAGTAAATATTTGATTTGAAATTTAATATATATGCATGAAATGTAAGGAGCTGTAATGCTACTTGCTTAGTTGTTTTCTAGGGCTTTCCCCGAACTTGCAATGTCCTTGTTAGATTTCTTTTATACCTCTTGATATTTTGATGATTTATGATTTGTGATTTCTCTTAAATAAACAATGCAGCCAAAGAAAGTAATGTCATTGGAGGATGCAAAACAAAGAGCATGGCAGTGGAAGAAGGCAATTGAAGGGCTTCAAAACCGATGAAACTCACTGTTTCTGACAACAGTATTTTCAGTGTCTTGTTACTGTTCAGGATGAGGGGACTAATCAATTTAGAACCCTCTGATACGTATTCATCAACAGAAAATGAAGTTACAGATTAGCTTTCCGAAACTGGTTCAAGCTAATTTCTCACAACTTGAGCTTATGATTACTTACCCAGCCCCTTTCATGCTTCTATGGGATGACATGTATAATGTGAAAAACAACAACGCTAGGCTATGTTAAGAGGTTGGAATCATTTATTTGTATTAAAGAACTTCAAAAGTCATAAACGTATACCATGAATTGAAAGATGATACAAGTTTTGCTTTTTATATTGTATGAATTTCTCCATTTCTTTCTGCTCAAAACCCATGTCAGACGCTGAAATTTCAACTCTAATTTCTCCAGAACTGTTGAAATTACTCACTAGATTTTGCCCTCGGAAAATTGCAGATATGTTGATGTAGGTAAGATATCTGGCAATTCCATAGTATTGTTTAGGTATTCTTCTTCTTCTTTTTTTTGACCAGCATTGTTTTAGGTAATCAATGGAAGTTTATGTGAGAGGATGATGAGAAATAGTGCTGCAAGCTGTATTTGTTTCTTCTGCTGCGAAAATTTTGTCCCAAAAGAACAAAAAACTCCATCATATAAAAATAATTTTAATTGACAATAATGTGAGTGTATAATGTATGCAAATATAATCTGACATTCAGGGAACAAAGGGCCAGTTATATGGGGCTCACTTTCTGATGAGTGAATGAGAGATTTTAATTCATGGGCCCCATTGTTATCCGTTTATCTATCTCTCTCACGTGCCCAAAAATCAAACTTTCAACAGACTGTCAACTTCTTCCGCCCACCCCCCTCCCAACAAAACAACAAAAAAGGATTATTGACTTCTGATCAATGGATTCAGTTAAAAGGCTCTTTAAATATAAATCACTAGTAAACTCCAGTTACCATCAATGCCTTATAAGACGTTGAAAATTTCCATAAATTCATTGGATTTTTAACTTCTAAGAAACGAAAGCCCTCATTTTTATCGGGGTTTGACTTACAGGTAATACTGTTCCATAACCAGATACCAGTTTGACAGAGAACGTTGAGTGGGCTGGCAGGCACACGCAGTCCATAAAACACGAACAACATAACCATGTGTAAGCAGACATCTGTGTTGAAAACAATTGTGTCTGCTATGTTCATGTATTTTCTATAAACTGTATCCATTTACCAATATTTTTAGCTTCTTATTGCTAGTTAAATTCACTCTTCAATAAGCATGGCTGCAAGAGTTTTGATGATTATGTTGCTGAGTTTGACAGCAGCATTTGCAGAACCATTAAGCAGAAGAAGGGCAATGCAAGTGATACAGGAAGTGAAGCAGAAAGGGCCATATTTTGGTATCATCGCTGCCTACCCACCTGAGGAGATTGCATTTTTTGCTTCCAAGGCATTTGAACCCGATCCAAATCACCCTTTTGTGGAACTCTCAGGTTCTTCTTCTATAAAACTGAGATCCCATTATTTTTATAAACATGTTTTTATGTAGTTAAGAAGCTTAGATTCGGGATAGTTGTGTTGAAAATGGTGGTTGCAGGGAGGCTATACAGGGTCGGGAAGGTCTTTGATAAGAAAGTCATCTTTGTGAGGTGTGGAGTAGGAATGGTATGTATACGCATGAATGCTTCTTCATCAGTTCTTTCTCGTGTGCGATTAATATTATCTTTACTTACAAGTCTGATGATATACACATATCCACGCACAAAAGCATGAGAAATTTTAAATTTCAGAGGATTAATTTGTTTTATTATTTGAAATTTTTTCTCCTATTTTAAGGGGTGAAGCAGAAAGGTAACTCAGTCTATTTTTGTGAAACACACGTGTAGAGATAGTACCGGCCATTCTCTCTCTCTCTCTCTCTACTTCATACCTTGAATACTTAGTCCATGTTTGGCTAACCACTCCAAAATCACTTTTTTAAGCAAAATCAAGGTTTTGTGTGATTTCATCCAAACACTAAAAAAAAAGTCAACGAGTGATTAATGAACTAGAAACCATGGTTTGAGGAGAAGTTGGATTGATCAGCTTTTGAGAAAATCTATTCTCCAAAATCATTGAGTTTCTTCTTCTCATTTTGATTTTGGAATATTTTTTAAACTAAAAAATGAGGTTGATGTTGGCTCTATTACAGCTGAACGCAGCAGCAGTGGCACAACAAATGATTGATGTGTTAGACGTAGTTGGGATACTGCATTTTGGAATTGCTGGAAGTGCGAATGACTCCATTTCCTTTGGGGATGTCACCATTCCCAAACAGTTTGTTCATACTGGCCTATGGGACTGGCTGGTACTTCAATTTTCTTTCTGTAAAACTTGTCAATCTTTCAAGTACCTAACGCTTTGCAAATAGTACTAAAGAAACTCTTGAATTTATGTTTGTGTTTGATAATGGCAGAAGCCGAATGGGACACTTGAAAGTAGTGACTTTGCTCACTTGGATTTTGGTAACTTCGATGTTCCAAAAGGCAACAATTTGTTGGGACGTGTTGGCTACAGTTCTGAAGAATTCTTTTCTGTCACTGGAAAACCCAACTTAGCACAGCGTTTGATCTGGGCTAAAGTTACTTCTCAATGGCTTCAACTTGCTGCTACTTTGGAGGTTAGAACAAAACATGATGCTACTCACTGTCAAGAACTTGGCCATATATACGCCAATACACCATAAGGACGCCAGTTCAAATTTCCTAAATGCAATAGCTAGACAAGTAATTTACATAACTTAAAATAATTAGTCAAGTTAGTTATATGTAAAAAATATATGTTAATTCTCCTAAAGTACTTTTTTTAATTATTTATGTTAGAAAATACTCACTTGATGGGAAACTCTCTTAATATGTGCAATCAATATGGAGAGTTTAGGGTGAAAAAATGATAAATTTGAGAGACAAAGTGGATTGAAATCTTATTATAGTCAAAACAAACTCTTTTATACAAATTCTTACATTTAGGACTAGAAGGATTACTGTGTATCCGTAACATACTACCTTTACGAGTCTCATTACCCTTTTCAATCCTCTTGATAACAGATGCATACGGAAGTGAGAAACTGATAGCTCGTGTAATTTGTGACAGGGAATACAGCTAGAACGTTGTATAAACTCGAGCTTTTGTCTTCCGCATAGTACCAAGTTAGTGGTTGGTGTGAATGGCACATCAGCCGACATATATGTCGACAATGAAGCTTACAGAGATTTCCTGTTCCAAACATTTCAAGTTTCTTCTGTTGATATGGAGAGTTTCGCCATAGTCATGGTCAGTATTCTTCACCACTTTCATCCCCTTCAATCTTCATGCATATGCATACATAATAAACTTTTCAAACACATGCATATATTTGACGCGGGAGAACTCACACACACACTGCCTCTGGTCTTAAATATAGGAGCTAGTTAACTAATTTGATGAGACTAAAAAAATAAGTTTAGTTAGTTATTTGTAATAAATATGTATTGTCTTTTTTAAAATGTTTTTGCTAATCAAGTGTATTGGCTAGAACTATTATTATGAGAAGGATTACCTTGGAAAAAATCAACAGATATGAGAGACAAAGCAAGTTGAGGTTTTATATTTAGGACCAAAATAAAAGTCAAACAAGGTCTTATATTAAGAACTGGAGGTTGTGTGTGTGTGTAACGTAATAGTGCACAAGACTCCTACCAAGTAGAGGGTCTAGAAAGGGATGGATGTACACAGCCTTACTCTTGCAAGTAAGCAAAGAAGCTATGTTTAGGATTTGAACCTTTGACCTTGCATAGCAGCAATATTACAGTTGCTCCCAAACTCACCCCCTGATATATATAATTGTTGGTGAATATAAATACTTTAAAATAATTTAGTAACTTTCTTAGTTTTCACAAATTAGTTAGTTGGGTCTTATATTAAGGACTTGGGATAGTATATAATTATTAGAGAATATAATGAATGTGTTTGATTGCAGACAAGCTTGTCGAATGGGATTCCAGTGGTAGTGATAAGAGGAATATCAGATATGGCGGGAAAGAGCGGAGAAGAAGCCATTGACACATTTGGAGCTCTTGCTGCTACCAATGCAGTCACAGTTTTGCTTCGCCTTCTCAACATTTTGCCTTCCTCACTTCATCATTACATTTCATTTTTTAACTTCTTCCAACAACAGTCTACTTCTTTCATCACTTTGATCTTACTGTTGTTCTTTCTTTTTTATCCGCAAATATAAATGCAGGATGATAAATAAATTTTATCCCATCATTTTATTTTTCTAAAAAAATTATTTATTTTTAATTTGTGACAACCTACATATGCCATCACCCACAATCGTTGTAATTAATAGATTATGTGCATAATGACTATTATTTATGATTGAAAAAACTATAAGTACTCAATGTAAAATTTCTTTTACAAAAACCTGATTAAAAATCATGAAACTGTAAGGACTAACAAGTTTGTTTTTTCTTAAAATTTCAAAGATCAATTGCATTTTATCATACAGTCAATGATAAATTGCAAAATGTAAGTGTGGAGTGCTGTATTTGCATCAAGTTTTCGGATCTTATATATTAATAGTTGGAAAATTAATGACAAATTGCGATTTGCTAGTGTCAAATTTTGAAAACTCAACATGAAACTCTCATACTGATATGTATAGGTTAAATTTTTTTATGGTAAAAGTTAGAACATCAGTTGCAAATGTTTTTTCCATATAAGCGAAAAGCCAGTGTGAAATTTTTAAAGGTATATGATGCAATAATTTGACACTTATCCTCTGTAATAACTTACAACTGTTTTTGAATTTGGTAAGAACATTTTATTAAAAAGGAATAATTATGTAATTTCATAGGATTGACATTAATGATCAAAATAAACTTTAATTGATCCATGTGACCATATGTGAGAAAGATGCCAGATATTATTGTATGTGTCATTTGAATCACGAGGGCGGTTGCCTCTGTCATTTATACTGCAAATGTACGTTAAAGCAAAATATATTGAAGCATTTATAGTATTCAAAATATATCTCATTTTTCTATTTCAAATATTGTTAATTATAATAAATTTCCTCTGTCAGTGTAATTTTAGCTTTTCTTTTATCCTTCATGAGAGACTTGTTTCCCTCACCAAGTGATAGACAAGTAAAAACTTTGAAACAGTAAAAAATAATTTTCTTTTTACATAATACTTCCTCTATATCACTTAATATAATATTAATAAACACATTTACGTTGATAGACAAACAAAAAAAGATAAAAATATATCACTTTAAAATCTGTTTTTGCTTTTCATTCTATCTTCCCTCAATTATACTCCCTCCGGTTCATAAGGAGTGCATTTTTAACATATCAAAAGTGTAATGGGTACTTTAGATTTTTTTTCATAGGGAGTACTTTTAAAAACATGCATTAATTATACTTAGAAATCTATGGTGAAGGTTTGAAGTTTGGATACTATACAATGATGAATAGTTGGGGCAGCATGATTAAAATTAGATTTTATACAATTAAATATATTTACACACATCAACTTATCAATGCTCTAAGTTTTGAGTCTAGGATCTCATCTAAACATAGTGAAGTTAGTAAGCTTTGAGTTTAAAACCTTATTTACACATGATAAGTGGTACTGCTATTAGGATAATTTGCTGATATGATTGAACATATATCTTAAGCTAATTTTATAGAGTATTTCTTTCGATCCTAAATATAAGACTCTTTTTGTAATGTAATTACTATTGGGATAATTTGTTGATATGATTGAACATATATCTTAAGCTAATTTTATAGAGTACTTCTTTCCATCCTAAATATAAGACTTTTTTTGTAGTGTAATTTATACTATAAAAATGGTTTTATATTTAGGACAGGAGGAGTATTAATTTTCATATGATATCTGATATTCAATGGCATCGGATGGCACGCAAGCATGATTGAAGTATCTATAATCTCTTCTACCAAAGACAGTATTATCTTGAATTGTGATTATTTAACCATCCATGCTTGTGGAAACACCTAACATTAAAATTTAAAATTTAATTTTATTCAGACTGTAGGACACAGCAACTTGCTTAAAAAGATATTGGTTTGTGAGCAAGTGGGGAGATGCGATATACCAATCTGAAGAAAAGCTTAAATATATATATACATGGGAAAATGTGCAACATGTGGTCAATAATTGAATCCCAACAATCACGTAATAATACCGAACAGATCAGTAAAGAATAATAAAAGTAAAATAATATTATATATCGAGATAAATTAATTAAAGAGTAGGGACCATAATTATAAAAGATAGTGAGAGAGAGGAAGGATATTAAGAAAGATTACTATGATATTTTAGAAAAAACATGTCATATTTCTTATAATTAACTAACTTACCTAACTTCTTTAATCTAATTAAGTTAGTTAAATATATCTTATATTAAGGATTGAAGAAATATATATTTAATGATAAGGGGGCGTATGTTTTTATTGGAAACAATCATCTGTTAAATACTAAATGTGAACAAATTTTTTAATAGAGATTCATATTTTAATTTGTCAGAACTAGCTTTTTTCATTATTAGACTCAACCCTTATTAGTCATACACATGCACACAAAAATGGGTTTGCCTGACATGTATCAATGGCATTATGGCCAAAAAAAAGTAGCAATTCGGATATGAAAATCCACATCTGATAATAGCAACAACGTGATGGAACGCTCTCTCTCCACCAAGCTTCAGGAAAAAGAAGACACCCCTCCCTCCGCATCCAGATGACAATCGATCGACGAAGAAAGTGAAAATACGTAATGGACTCCCTCATGAAGAATCCGATATTCTCTCCTATGACCCTATCTCACCATCTGATGAAGAAATGTCTGTCAGAGGAAGCAAACGAGGACCAGCAGACTAACGACTTGAATATGGATGCCACCGACCCACCTGAGCAACCAGTGCCTTCCTTCAGGGACATGCTACTCAACCAGGGCCACGAGCCAGGGATGAGGAAGAAGATCTCGCACTCCACGAAGGGGACATCACTGTCAACAAAGCAGGTCCCTTTCCATCCATTCATTTCTCAGCAAGGGTCCACAAGATACTAGATGACAGCATGAAATTTGCGGTTGTGGTTAAAATGCTTGGGTCGCAACATCAGATATAATGATCTCCG